AACTGGATGTTTTGGACCTTCTCCCCCTGGAAGGATCGTCTGAGCTTCAAACTGAGCTGGGGATTCAAACTGGAGGTTTGGATCTACTTTTCCCCAAAGAATTGTTTGAGCTCCACACTGAGCAGGGGATTCATCTCCACAAGAACCCGTTCAAGTACCATAGGAAATCTAAGTGGCAGTAAGCTCCTCCGTTCCTCAAGGAAACACCTCAACCTTGGTAAACCCTGTCCACCCTCCAACGAGCAAGTCAATTACTGGAACAACCCACACCAACTGGATTCAGAGAAAGACACCTTTTTCTGGAAACATGAGTCCTGTTGCCTTTATTCCCTTTTGCAAATCGAAGCTGAAATTTCCCTGAACTAGCCTGAACTAACCACAGGAACTTCCCCTTCACTTTTCAGTCCTGGTTCGCCCGTGTTCAGAGCAGCACTGGACCCATCTCTACCAGTTTTCAATAAACCTGTTAAACCTTCCCCTGGTCTTTCTGTTTGGTTTTCTGCCTGTGGGTCAGATCTTTTAAATAAATCATGACATAAACCTAATGAAGGAACCTTATTCTGAAAATGTTGTTTCTTTGACATTCAACTAATGACTTTTAAGGACAATGAAAAAATTTATTTTATTGAACCAGGGGCAAAATATTATGACAGTTACACTGCAATGCCTTTAATATACAGTATGGCAGATCAAATTAAAGTGTCTGTCCGGTGACCACTGACTGTCACCATCTAAAGGATGAATTTGCTGTTACCATGAAGAAAAGTGACCCATTCAAAACTGCAACTTCACAAACAACAGATATATGTCACAGTATCCTCTGGTTGGGGACATTTTTTTCAGTGCATTTTTTAAATCTCTCTTGCATTCAGTTTAATCTTTATTGTGAAATCTCTATAAAAACCTTTTCCGGATACCTGCCTGGTTTCTTTGTGCAATAGAATTTGTCAGGAAATTGTAATCTCTTCGTACCTTTAAAGATCTTACATCATTCTACCTGTTGGTGATCTCTAGTCCATCTTCTCCTTGACAATGCTCATTTTATTATGGCAGAAAACATTTAAATGTTGAAAGCAAAATTATGAAATAGCATTTAGAAGTAAAGCAGTAAAATGTATCGTGACATTTAACTTTAAAGTCATTTTCATTCAATAAGCTTTTTTTTAATCCCTTACGTGACTCTCTCTATTGTGACCAAAAAACTAATTTAAAAATGTCAAGAGCAAATGTAAGCATAAAGTCTTCTCAGAAGAGGATTGGTTTGATTTCTAAGAATAACATTACTGCTAAGTAATAACACAGAGGTAGCAAAAATCAGTAGACCGAAGGGAGAAATTACTTGGTTGACGATAGCGTTCAAAATCAGAAGTCTCGGACCTGCCTCACATGAAGCAAGCTATTTAATAATTGAGTCATTGGACTCTAACTGGAAGTAATACAAAAAAATGTGGGTGTTCCAGACTTCTAATAGGAAAAATGTGAGTGTTGCATTCCCCACGGGTTCAAGGCCCATGACATCACCACTTAGAGCACTGCAACGTGGTGGTGCCCTTGCCAAAAAATTATAAACAATGCTAAGTTTTAATTTTTTTTTATATATACATCTTCACCTTTGTAATATAATTATTCATAGTAGTAAGACACAATCTCATAAATTAAGCAAGTTTGCTTGACCGTTCCAACTCTGTAAACCACTGATTAATAATAAATTGGTCAGTTGTTCTCATATCTGTCTATGCTAACCATTCCCTGTTTGGTAAAATCACTTTATCAAGCATTTTCTAAAACTGAATTCTACAAGATGCGTGATAAAAGCATGTATAATTCATGCTGATATTGTATCAGATCAATACTGGTATCTGTCAAAACTCAAAGTTGTAACATCTGTATTGTATCACAGATGAAAAAGTTATATCAGGACATACACTCACCGGCCACTTTATTAGGTACACCTGTCCAACAGCTCGTTAACACTGAATTTCTAAGCAGCCAATCACATGGCGGCACCTCAGTGCATTTAGGCATGTAGACATGGTCAAGACAATCTCCTGCAGTTCAAAGCGAGCATCAGGATGGGAAAGAAAGGTGATTTGAGTGACTTTGAACGTGGCATGATTGTTGGTGCCAGAAGGGCTGGTCTGAGTATTTCAGAAACTGCTGATCTACTGGGATTTTCACGCACAACCATCTCTAGGGTTTACAGAGAATGGTCCGAAAAAGAAAAAACATCCAGTGAGCGGCAGTTCTGTGGGCGGAAATGCCTTGTTGATGCCAGAGGTCAGAGGAGAATGGCCAGACTAGTTCGAGCTGATAGAAGGGCAACAGTGACTCAAATAACCACCCGTTACAACCAAGGTGGGCAGAAGAGCATCTCTGAACACACAGTACGTCGAACTTTGAGGCAGATGGGCTACAGCAGCAGAAGACCACACCGGCTGCCACTCCTTTCAGCTAAGAACAGGAAACTGAGGCTACAATTTGCACAAGCTCATCGAAATTGGACAATAGAAGATTGGAAAAACGTTGCCTGGTCTGATGAGTCTCGATTTCTGCTGCGACATTCGGATGGTAGGGTCAGAATTTGGCGTCTACAACATGAAAGCATGGATCCATCCTGCCTTGTATCAACGGTTCAGGCTGGTGGTGGTGGTGTCATGGTGTGGGGAATATTTTCTTGGCACTCTTTGGGCCCCTTGGTACCAATTGCGCATCGTTGCAATGCCACAGCCTACCTGAGTATTGTTGCTGACCATGTCCATCCCTTTATGACCACAATGTACCCAACTTCTGATGGCTACTTTCAGCAGGATAATGCGCCATGTCATAAAGCTGGAATCATCTCAGACTGGTTTCTTGAACATGACAATGAGTTCACTGTACTCAAATGGCCTCCACAGTCACCAGATCTCAATCCAATAGAGCATCTTTGGGATGTGGTGGAACGGGAGATTCGCATCATGGATGTGCAGCCGACAAATCTGCGGCAACTGTGTGATGCCATCATGTCAATATGGACCAAACTCCCTGAGGAATGCTTCCAGCACCTTGTTGAATCTATGCCACCAAGAATTGAGGCAGTTCTGAAGGCAAAAGGGGGTCCAACCCGTTACTAGCATGGGGTACCTAATAAAGTGTCCGGTGAGTGTATATATATATATATAACATTTGTCATATATTTAATCTTTCAAAACCATAAATGTAAAAGGGAAATGGATTGAGTGAGGAAGAAAGTATTGTTAGCAGAGCTAAATGACGCATTTGGCTAGATACTATTCAGCTATGCTGAGAGTGGTGGAGTTTTCACCATATACTCCATAAAATGTGGTCTGACAAAATGGAAGATTACTTCTCAGCAGTGTTACTTTCGTCAACCATTACGATGACGAAAATATTTCGTCAACGCCTCTTTTTCCCATGAAGATGACTAGACAAAAATTGTCTCCAGAAAATAAAAATATGACGAAAATAGAAAATCATTTTCGTCAACAAGACTAAGACCAGAGAAATTTACGATCCATGGACGAATGGACATTAAGAAATGTAATTGTGTTTAATTAAGTTGTAATTGCTAATATTTTTCTTGAACTTCATAAAAGATTTCGCGTTGTTGCCCTGTTCGTCCCTACACGGCGCCTGTCCCTCAGCGCCTCGTGCCGCGCAGTCAAGAGCAGCAGAGGGTTTATACTCATAGTTCAACTCCGCAGTCATTGTGGATACCGGTGTGCGGTTTGTTAAACAACGCATAGATGTATAAATAAAATAGAGAAAAAGAGAAGCTGTGTGACGAATTTTTATTCTGTACAGTGTGATATATACAGTATGTTAAAAAAATCAGTGTGTGGAGAAGTTCTATTTCTTACAGCGTTGACTAAAATGACAAAAAATGACTAAAATTTGACTAAAATTACTAAATGACTAAAATGACTAAAATATGACTAAGACTAAAATAGATTTTTGTCATTGTGACTAAGACTAAATTTTAAAAAAGCTGACGAAATTAACACTGCTTCTCAGAAACTTATTTTTCCTTTTTTTTTTCATAACCATATTTTCAGTCGTAAAAGTAAGTCGTAAACAGAGGAACTCCAGAACAACAATCGCAACTCTGGGGTATGTAGGGTTATACATGTGAAAATCACAGCTAGAGAGGATTTACTGCATGATGCCGATAATTCAGTGATATGTGAATGTTTTACCTCATACTGCGTGATTAGGCCATTGGGTTCCGCAGGCTCCTCCCACTTAAGAAAGATCATGTCATCCATTGGAGTGAAGGTCAAAGACTCTGAAGCAATGACTCCAGGAACTATAATTAGGACAAAACAAAAACAATTTTGTCTGAAACAAGCATTCAATATGGGTCTAGACTAAATGGACCTCTGTGTGAATGTTGGTTACAAAGCCTTTAATAAAGAGTGCTAGTTTCATTTTACCTCCAGAACATTGCCAAAACTATGAATGCCATGTCCAGGAGTGATGCTTTAAAAACTGCTTTAGGTATATGTAACTTACAAGTTATAAGTTAACTACAATATGTAGTTAACTTTATATTTTTTTAAGACAAAGCAGAGTGTGTATGACGTCATCTGTGCACCGGACTGGAGTGGTGACAGACAGCCCGGGCCACAGGCGGCTGCGCTCTCCCCCTTCTTTTCATTCTAGCTAATCTGAATCGTTCAATTCCATTTGGAGAGCGAGATCATCTGTGGTAGCAGCACTAGACATCTTCCAGGCATGTGAGGAAAACTAGCAGCAGTTCAGCGGACAGGATGAATGAACGGTAGCTGGCACGCGCGGGTGCCGTCACACACTCCACTTTGTTTTAAACAAAAATTAAAATAAACAATATAACCGTGGATGTCTGGGGGACAGTGATTGGCCTCCATGTTCTGAATGCTGGCGTACCATAAAGAATAAGTTATGAACAGTTTAGTTTGTGCCTTCGAGTCGTTGCCCATAGGAAGACGTTACTGGATATAACCTAACGGAATATCTTCAAAACGGCTCCAAATGACACAAAACTCATATGGGTGAGTAGAACATGATGGAATAACGTAAAATCAAGGGCCCAATGTTAAAAAAAAAACTTGTTCCCCTTTAAGTGGGATACACCACGTTTAAAAATGTGCAAAACCCCCGAGGGTCAGAGACTCTCCCACCACAGTCTCCTAAAATCCTGTGGGAAACACTGAAAACGCTAATATCTACTTCCAATCACCACAGATGACCCAGCCTGAGGCAGCTGCTGCTGGGGGTTCCTGGTGACAGTGCACCATAGGTATGTGGGGGTCTGTGTGGCTCAGACAACAAAATAATATTTAAAGGCATGATTGTAATCTTGATGAACTGACTGCAGAGACAATGTATTGAGGATGTTTTTGCCACTCTCTGCCACTGAACACAGGAGCAGCAGAAGCACACACACACCTGTTCACACCTTACTTGGTGAACCTCAGGCCAGCACCTCTTGAGGCACATCTCATTTATGTGTTCAAGAATCAAAAAGGAAGCAGCAGTTGCTTTATTTGCTTCTGAAATCATGTGCTTTGTGAACATAGCATAAGACAAAGGCTAAGCTGATTAATAGTCACTATCCTCTGTTTAAAGGGCTGATCTTCCATTTAGTTGTTTCTATTTGTTGCATGAGTAAACAACTAAAAGCCTAGATTTTTAAGGCTGATGCAGAACAATTACCAATTAATGAAGATACTACAAACATAGGAAGTTATGCCACTCAATAAGCCTTATTTCATGGATTATTTAACAAATATGCCTTTTATGCAGATAATATATTACCATAAAAAAAGAGCAATTAATTTTTTTATTTACCATCTTCGTCTGTCTGGAAGGTAACTTCCCGGCTCTCCTTCTTGCCCTCTGGGTTGGCCAGTGCCAGGCTTACATAAATCACCTGAAAAGGTGGCAGGTTCCTCAGTGTAAAATGAGAGCTATTGCTGTCCACCAACAGGCAATCTTTTATGGTGGCATTGTTTCCCCCGCCGTTCCCTGTCGCCATGGTGTAGCGGTAGCAGAGAAACTGTGAATATGTGTGGCAACGTGTGAGGTTGTAGCCTACTGGCTCCCACTGAAGGGCCAAAAAACGTGGCTGGATCTCTGTCGCAGTGAGGTCACGCAGGGCACGCTTGGGCTCTGAAAGACACACAATTCAATTCAATTTATTTATATATGGGTATTTAACAACACATTTCAT